GTTGACCAGGATGGTCTCGATCTCTTGACCTCGTGATCCACCCGCCTCGGCCTCCCAAAGTGCTGGGATTACAGGCTTGAGCCACCGCGCCCGGCTATGTTAGTTGCTTTCTTTCTTTCTTTTGAGATGGTGTCTCACTCTGTCACCCAGGCTGGAGTGCAGTAGTGTGCTCTTGGAACACTGCAACCTTCGCCTCCCGGGTTCAAGCAATTCTCCTGCCTCAGCCTCCCAAGTGGCTGGGACAACAGGTACCTGCCACTGCACCCAGCTAATTTTTTTTTTTTTTTTTTTAATTTTTAGTAGAGACAGGGTTTCACTCTGTTGAGCCAGGCTGGTCTCGAACTCATCACCTCGTGATCCACCCCCCTCAGCCTCCCAAAGTGCTGGGATTACTGGAGTGAGCCACCACGCCTGGCCAAATAAATATGCCAGTATCTAGCACAACCCTGGGGATGCCCATAAGTATGTGCTACCCATGTAAACATCAGCTATGTGCTAATAGCTGAGAAAAAGTTGAGAACTGATGGTTAAGGGGATCTGATAGGAAAGAATCTGGCATAGAAGTCTAAGAAGAGCGATTAGAGATTAGACAATCAGTGTAGTACAATACCATAGCAGCTAAAGGAAATGAGCATTTCCCAATGAGAAAGAGATCACTAGTGTCCGAGACCATGGATAAGAACTGAGCAAATGCCATGGATTTGGTGGTTAGCAGGGCACTGATGACCTTGGAGCATGTAATCTCTGGATGGTAAGGGCAAAGACCAGACTACAAGGATTTATGCAAGTAAATGATAAGGAAGAGGAAGTAGTGAGTGTCAGCTAATTTTTTTCAAATTGTTTAGCAGTGAAGCTCCTTTGCTTTACTGAGCAAATGATATAGGTGTAGCAGAACAGAGGGAATGCTTTTGATTTGAAGAAAATATGAATATATTGCCGTATAGAGAGGAAGGTGCAGGAGAGAGGGAGAATTTGAAAATGCAAGTGAAAGGAGGTGATTGAAGAGAGGCCCTGAAGAAGTAGAAGTGTTTTGGATCAAGGGCACAAGAGAAGGAGGTTGTCTCGGGAAGAATAGGAACACTTCTGCCTCTTGGGAAGATATTAAGATCCAGAGAAGTTTAGAAGTAAGGCAGAGAGAAAAACCAACCAACCAACCAACCAGACAAACAAAAAACAAAAAAAGAAGCAAGGCAGAGAGATTGAAGCAGCTTATGTTAATGGACTTGGCCTTTAAGAAAATTGGAGTAGAGGCCCTTTGGTTTGAATGAGGTTAGGGAAAGAACTGAGGATATGAGAAGCAGACAGATGGTTTGGAAATGTCACTGCATAAAATGCAATATAGAATCATACATGGTAATGAACGAGTTACTAAGAAGTAGTGAAGTCCTAGCTGATAGTATATATATTGTATGTATATAAGTTAAATGTTTTCATGCTGTAGAAGTACCAAGACTATTTCACTTCCCTTTTCTTAAGACATGAGTTTATCATTTTCCTTTGTAACCATGATCCTGAACCTTCTGGATCTTGTTTGGTTTAAATAGTTTGCTGATTCTTGCCCGAATTTCTACTTAGACTTTCAGAGTACATAGGCCGAGTTATAAATGTCTCAGATTAAAAATGGCGCACTCATTTGACACGTCCTAGATCCTGCCTTGGAATACCATTTAGCCTATACTCCCGCGTTCTAATGATCACATCTTAAAGGCATCACATCTTCTGTTTAATTTTCAAGCCACCAGTGAAGACTATAAGCTCCTGGAAAATATGAATAAACTCACCAGCTTGAAGTATCTTGAAATGAAAGATATTGCTATAAACATTAGTAGGAACTTAAAGGACTTAAACCAGAAATNGGAAAATATGAATAAACTCACCAGCTTGAAGTATCTTGAAATGAAAGATATTGCTATAAACATTAGTAGGAACTTAAAGGACTTAAACCAGAAATGTAAGTAATAATATTTGTAATGAAGCATGTTTGTATTTAATGTTCTTTTGTGCTTGGGGCCATAGAAAAGAGGAGGGAACATGACAGTTTTGTCTTGTGGGAGCTTGTTTTCTTAAAATGAATTCCAAATTTAAGATGAATTTCTTCCATTCTGAGGATTAGCATGCTTTGGTGGTATGATTATTTTTGCTTGTAAATCTTGATTTTATCAGTTTATTCCTGGAAGGGGAGGGGGCCAGATTCTAATGAATTGATTTATAAATCCATAAAGCCATCACATCTTCGGATTATTCTATAAGCAGAAAACCAAAAACTCTATAATGGAAAACACTAATTTAGAGTACAGCTAGTGCTCGACTTATGACCACGATTGGTTCCGACAGACCGGTCGTAACACGATTTGGTCGTAAGTTAAGTAGGCTATATGTACAGTACTGTGAGATGATGTTATAAAAATCTTTAAGTCATATTTTATCATAATTTTCTTTCATTATTGTTATATATCATAATTTTCTTTGTTCATTTTATGCCATTTGTATCATCTCTACACCATTTTGTTTCTTATTTTTACATTCGTCAGGTTTAAGTAAAGCACTGCATTACCAGTACAACTGGTTTAATATTTGCAAAACATACAAAATTACAAAATACAGGTGCATACAAAAATACAAAATACAGGTGTAAAAAATACCATCGGAAACATTTTCCTAATTGCAAAACATATCAAAATATATAAACATGTACAAAACATTTTATTGGCTGGGCAACGTTTGCGCTGCCAGACGCGGAGCAGTCGTGGCTAGCGATTGTGGTCGTAAAGTCGAATGGTCGTAAGTCAATCAATACCTGTAGTCGAGAGCATTTTTCCATTGACTTATTGTATTTGTGTTCCTTGTTTCTACGGTGCTCTTTCTTGGTATGGGAGTACCCAAGAAACAATCAGTAACAGAAAGCTTGCTCAAGGAGCAAGAGATGAAAAAGAATGGAAAATTAGTAGATGAGAGACACTGACTAAGTCTGGGCCATAGTCGTGCCTGATCAACTGGCTACTGTCTTCTAAAGCACCTGCGCTGCTAGTGATCAGAATCATGTCACTCCACCTAATCTGTCTTAGCATAGATGGAGAGACACTCGCATTATTACTTTTCTACTCTTTTCCTATATGCCTTGTTGATACAACCATATAAACTTGAGGTTTTTCTTTGTTTTTAAAGATGCTGGACTGCAGCCTTACCTGGATCAGATCAACGTCATTGAAGAGCAGGTAGCAGCTCTTGAGCAGGCAGCTTACAAGTTGGATGCATATTCAAAAAAACTGGGTAACCATTTTATTTCTGTTTTGATGTAATAAAGAGTACCTCTTGCCAGCATGTCCTTAATAAACATAATAGTTAACATTTATGGTGTGCCTACAGTGATCTATTAATCTTCACAAAACCTTAGTAATTTATTATTACATTAATAAAAATAACATTTCCTGATTACTTAATGATGTATCAGGCACCGTTCTTAGTGCTTTGCATGTATTACGTTTTTTATCTTCCCAATAATCTGTGAGGTAAGTACATGATTTTTTTTTTTTTTTTTTTTTTT